CAGCAGCAGCAATCAGAGATAATAGCATATTGCTAACAACTATAATATAGCTCACTGGTTTGAGCATTGGCCTATTAAACCCAGCGTTGGGAGTTCAATCCTTGAGGGGGCCATTTAGGGATCTGGGGCAAAAATCTGTCTGGGGATTGGTCCTGCTTTGAGCAGGGGGTTGGACTAGATGACCTCTTGAGGTCCCTTCCAACCCTGATATTCTATGATTCTGAAGTACTATAAAGTGTTCCCTCTATCCTGAATATCATGCTACGATCTTAAAAACTGGAAAGTAGTTCTCTGCAGTTGGCGTTACAGTATTTTAGGGAATATTGTACCATACATATAATGGAATCAGATGATTTGCTGTATGCAACATCCTATTTAAAAAGCACCCTAGACAAGCGGTAGTTAGTCTGCAATTTTAAGATTGCAGTATTGCAATTTTAATCACTGTTTTGCATATGATCTGTACGACAGTAGTCTCTAGCAACCCAACGTGCTATTTACTATAAAAAAAATATAGTAAGAGACAGTTGCTACCCCAAAGAGCTGAATAGACAAAAGAGTGGGAGGGGAATAAGACAGAGAGGTAATATGACCTGCCCAATGCCACATAGTAGGTCAATGGTAAAGCCAGGATTAGAACTCACTTCTCCCAACTCCAACTTGGCTCTCTATGAGCTGAGGGGTGAAAACATTATCCATTAGACCACATTACTAAACAGATTGCAGAGATTACACTAACATTTACCTGGATTTCCAAAACGAATAAAACTATTTCACAAATATTTTTTTAAGTAAAACGCAGCATTTATGTGCTTTCCTTCGACAAGGGCATGTCACTCATAGAAAGCTAACTGAATTTCACCCACAGTAATGTACAAGATTTATTTTTGAATTTGTGTCTGGACCAAGAACTCAAAGACTTGTGCATTTTGGGAGAGAAGGAAGCAAGGTAGAGCCCTGTGCAGATAAAAAATGTGTATCCACATCCGATCCACAAACGTGGTCCGCAGATATCCGCATGTGTGGATGTCCACAGATTTCCAGGGCAATAAAGAGAAAAGAAAAAGTATCTCTCTGATGAGCTAAACAAATCTGGCTTTGGTTACCTACCCTTCTGGGGTCCCTGCAGTGATGGAATACGGCCATAGACTGCCAAAGCTTTAAGAAAATATAGAGTTTGTGCCCACGTGGGTCCAGCTGTCTCTTCTTCTCTTTGTTTATGAATGGCTCTAGTAGCTTCTCTCTCCCCCCCCATAACCAGAAAAGCCAAAGAGGGATGCACCTGTAATTGTCTTTATGAAGGCACATGAGTAGTCTATATAAATTACCGGGATTATTTATATGGGCAAAGGTGTTTGCATGGCAGTAATACCCAGAAGGCTCAAACAATAAATGTTTTATAATTACAAAATAAAACAAATCAAAGAAAATTTACCCTCAAAAATATTTATATAAAGCACTTTAGGGCTTTGAGAATTGTTTAAAAATAAATTTAAACCACAACTTTCTGAAGTTTTGTGTGTTCCCTTACCATGACTTGGCATATTCTTTTTCTTTTTTAAAATGACTGTCATATGTTTTTAAATGTTATGGTCCTCTTTTTGGCAGTGCCTGATTAATGACCCAGGGCAGAAATCACCTGATGCTGTTGTGATTATGACATTTCAGAACTAAAACCCACTCAGCTTTCAGGAAAACTGATACTGACATTTTATGGTTGAGTCCCTTTCCCATTTAGGTTTCACTATCTTCCCTAAATCCAAACCATGCTGTTTTATTTTCATTTTTGTATATATTAACCAGAAATTTGAGAAAGATCATTTATGACCTCCAACATTTATGAATAAGGATCAAAAGATTACACAAAATACACACAAAAAGCCAGCAGAATAGGGATGTCTTCCTTTGAAGACTTAGGATTCTTTTGATTTGGAGTGTACCACTATAACACTCCAACAGCTCACCGCAATATAATGAGGTTCAACCAAGATTTTCTACCACTTATATTAATGGAATGTAGCCTCTGGTACAGAACATTAAGGCCTTCACATGAGTCCAAACCGGTTTAATTTTATGTTAAAAATTCTAAGACCAGAAATAGCAGTGCTACAGTGGATTGCATGCTCTCGATCCTGCTTATTATTTAAACCTACAAAACCAATTGAAATCACTTGCAAAATTAGCACAAACTTCTAAACAGTCTGTGTCTGTGACTGTAGTGTCCAAATAGATGTGCCATACTGTTACTGTGAAGATGCCTCCATAGTAATAATAGTTTGAATCTGCAGAAACAATATTACAATTACAATGCCAGTTCACCAATATACTGGCATTTAAAGGTTGAAAATGTACTATTTAATATTACCAGGAGTTATATATTTACCATTTGATTTAGACTAATTTTTTCACTTTTTAAATTCAGTTAAGACTTTTTAGATCAAGCTAAATTTTCTCTGACTGAAGTAAATGGTGGCTCTGTGTCTACACTTAAAAGAAGTATCTGTACTAACTTCTATTTTGGTTATGAGTCTAGGATATTATTTTTAAGATTTGTTTTTATTAGAGTAAGGTTTTGTCTTAATATCTTATTGGTCATTTTTATATACCACCTTATATTTTGTGCAACGATAGATATAACCTACAAAATGGAAATCAAAAGAGGCAGTAAAAGACAGCACACAGAAAAAACACAGAAAATTCACTAATGAAAAAGAAAACAAACATTAAATGTAGACAATAACAACTACATTTACAACTTCATACTTACAGCAACAATATTAATTGCCAAATAAAACACATGCAACACAAAGAAGGGAGAGCTAGAAACATTCATTTTGTGTTGTATTCAATTTTGTCCTCTTTTTATTTAGACAGCTTAGTTTATAACAGAGAATCATAAACTTAACAAAATAGCCAGGGTTTCTATGCCTCTAACATGAAGTAGATTTGTATCAACAGCCAAATAAAAGCCACCATAAAAACAAAGTTTTCTTTTTGGTGGACTTGAAACAAATGATTTTTTGAAAATCTACTAATCTAGTTGAACATTCATGTCGGAGCACAAATGGAGAATAGTGTCAAGGCAGGAATAACAAAGAGCAGGGGAGTGGTGTGGAAAGAAGACTGTAAATGGGGCAGGGAAAAGTGACTGCGCAAGACAACAGGTTAAGAAACATTAATTAAAGGTTGTAGGCAGTGTTGGTGTAGCCTCTTGGTCTCAGGATATTAGAGAGAGAAGGTGGGTGAGGGAATATATTTTATTGGCCCAATTTCCGCTGGTGAGAGACCAGCTTACACAGCGCTCCTCTTTTTACTTCAGAGACCCCAAGAAGAGCTCAGTGTAAGACTCGAAAGCTGCTCTCTCCCCAGCAGAAGCTGGCCTAATAAAAGAGATTACCTCACCCATCTTGGTTCATTAATTAACGTTCGTTAACTCATTATTTGCTTTGTGACCCTGCATTGTATAGTCAAGTCAACAGAAGCGTCAACCCTACTGCACACAGCACACCACCCACCCCTCTACTCCAAACCCAGCCATGCCACAGGACAGGGTCCCAGGTAACTGTAGGGCCAGCAGCAAGGGTGGAGAGGAACCACAGACATGCAGGGCCAAGAAGGACCCGTCCAGCCCTGCGCTGGGGCAGGGCCAAGCTTTTCTCCAGGCCCCCGACATTTCCCCAGAGCCTGCGGAGCTGCTGGCTGGTTTCACCAGAGACACAAACAGACCCCAGCAGCCCCCGCGCCGGGGAGCCAGGCAGGGCGGACAAGTCACAGCGCTGCGCTGCGCTCCGCCGCACACCGGCCCTGCCTGGCGTGA